GTGCTGGATTGGGGAGAGGGTGCAGTGAGGGTGTGTATATTTGGGGGTGCACTGTGTGCTGGATTGGGGAGAGGGTGCAGTGAGATGTGTATATTTGGGGGTGCACTGTGTGCTGGACTGGGGAGAGGGTGCAGTGAGTTGTGCATGTCCGGTGACTGTACTCTGCGCTGGCTCGGGGAGAAGTAGCCCCTTTCACACTCACTGACTGGAGCCTGGTTCCCTGGCTGGGACGGGAGGGATTTGGAGCTCGCAGCAGCTCTCAGACACACCCCCAGGCGCAGGCATTCCCTGGCTGGCCGCCGCTCAGTGACAAGCGGTCCCGCCCCCCTTTCCCGTGCTGACCTTTCCCCTAGTTTCCAGCGGGTGGCTCAGACTGAGCCGCAGCCGCGAACATGCCCACGCTGAGTCCTTCCTGCTATCAGGCAGGCTGCACGCCCCGATCACGCCGGCCGAGGCCGCCTATTGGTCCGACGCGGGCCAGGCCGGGCTGCGATTGGTGGGGAGCTGCCCGCTCCTTCCTCCCCCGTTCGCCTGGTGCACGGAGTATCTGGTGTGTTTCCCCCCGCCCGCGCCGGGGCTGCTGCGCGGCCGGCCCCGCGGGCGGGGGAGGTGGAGGCGGCGCTGGCTGCTGCCTTTGTCACATCGCCGCTGCCTGCAGGAGCCTCGCCATGCCCGGCTCGGAGAGGGGAGATGCCCCCGCTGTGAGTACCCCCGGCCGGCTGCGTTGTGGGGTGGGGGGCTGCTGGCGGAGCGGGGGGCACTAGGGGCCGGCTGCCCAGCCGCTCTCCCCCATGGCTTTCCCGTGCCCAGACGCCAGGGTGATGGGCGCCCGCCCCAGAAGCGGGGCTCCCCCCTTGGGGCGCTGGAGGCAGCAAGCCGGGCACCTGCTGCCAGGGGCGCTAAGCCCGCTCGCCATAGCTTGGCCCCGGGGCGGGCGGTGCGTGCCCTGGGCTGGGGGCGTCTGTGGCCCCCGGGAGGGACACGGGAGCGAATGTGCGCGTGGGTTTGCCTGTGAGCCCGGCCTCCCCTGCCCAGCGCCCTGGCCGGGCGGGGGTCACCCCCTGTGGTCGCCCCGCTGCCGTCGGCGTGGGGCAGGGGGCGAGGCTGACCCACGGCGCGGTACGTGCACCCGAGGGAGGCCCGCTGGGCGGGGCGGGGCGGGCATGGCAGCTCGGTCGCTGTCTGCGCTGTGCACCCCCAGCCCCCACCTTCCCCCCCGGGCACCCGCCCAGGCCGGGCTCCGCTGCAGCTCGGCGCCCGCGCGCGTTCGCAGGGCTATTTTGATGCATCACGTTGCCCCGGAGTTATATTGGGAGTGGGCGGCGGCTGCGGGCCCCGCGGGGTGGGGAGAAACCCCGCCATCCCCTCCCCTCTGGGGGTGGGGCTTTCCCGCCTCCCAGCCCGCTGGGCTCGGCTCCGGGGCTCCGTCACGCTGAGCAGGCGGCCGCAGCCCCGCTTCGCCTGTTGAGCGAGCAACCGAGACTGGCAAGGATCGGCCCCAGCTGAAAATAAACACTCAGGGCCTGGCCCCGGGGATCTCCCGTCCCGGGGCGCGGCTGCTGCTCCGGCAGACGCACAGCAGCTGGGGCCGCCTGCCAGCTCGCCCGCTGTTTGCAGGCGCCGACTTCCTGTGCAGTGCCTGTGCGCCGCGCGCGGGGTGAGCTCAGGACAAGCTGTCGGGCTCCTCTCGGCGCCGGTCTGTGTTTCACCCAGACTTTGTTTTACGAGCACAGCCCTTTTCGAGGAAATCACCCGCGTGGAGCGTAACCTCTCTTTGGTGTTGCTGGAGGACTTTGGGAAGCTATTTCTTGGATAGAGCGCGGAGACTTGGGAGGAGCTGTCACCAGCTCCTGTGTCTTCAGATGTTTGCCCGGTGCCCAGCACAGTGGTTCTGCTTGGTGGTTTTTACTGTTCATATTGTAATCAAAGAATTATATAAAGTGATTAGATGATTTTTCAAGACCTGTGGGATTTTTTTCTAAAATGTTCAGAGCAGTTAGTCTATTTAAGGACTCTTTAAATTGGATTATTATTATTTTTTTTAACCCTGAGGCTTCCTTTAAATCTGGGATGATTTGTCAGGTGGATGAATACTCTATGGATTTGATAAATGTCTGCTTTTCAGATCCATTGTGCTTAATGTATCTGCCACACACGTGTAATAAATACTATGTATTATGTACACAGTTGTATATCTGCTTGGCACTATGGACCTAGTGAAGTCAATGGCAAGGTCTCATTGACTTTCAGTGGGGGCATAATTTCACCCAATGCCATCTAATCTGTTTTAGGTTTTTTGAGTAGGACTTATCACTGCAGTATCTAAGGATTGTCCCTACCAGTTTATAATCTAAAGAAAGGCCGGATTCTGCTTTCCTCACACACTCAGAATTCTAATTGATTTTGTTTAGAGTTTTGGGTGTGCAAGAAGTGGAGGAGTGGATCCTTTTGTTATCACTCATTTTATGTGGGGGAAAGTGAATATAAGTGTTAGAGCAACAACATGTGGCTGCTGGGGTCATTACAGCACACACACTGAACATTGGCAAAACTTGTGTACGTTTTCACTGAAGGGAAAATGAGGATTTTTAGCCCCCGAAAAGTACAATAATGCAATATTTGCTTATGAAAACAAATTGATGTTTGGATTCCTCTCCCATCCCCAAATGCCCTAATAATAGTATCTACCTCTTACATAGTGCTTTATCATTGACAACTGGATGTGCATATGGTGCTCTTAGTGCCCTCTTATGTATGCATCTGTCCGCCTCAATTTCCTCCACCTGTAATATGGGGGATAAATGACTTGCCAAATTTATACACTGAGGGCACGGCTACACCAGAGAGTTTACAATGGCACAGGCAGGTATAGCCGCTCTAAGTCAACAGGAAAGAGCTCTGCCCTTGGCTTAACTACTCCAGCCCTCCTGCAAGCTGCAGAAGCTATATCGGTGGGAGAAACTCCACACTGGTGCTTATGTTGGTGTAACTTATGTCGCTCAGGTTGGTGATTCATTCACACCCCTGAGCAACATAAGGTATGCCTACTAAGCTGTAGTGTAAACGTAGCCCGAGTAGGCAGCAGACCTGTGTTTGGAACTTGGGAACCCTTGACTCTCTGCCCTTATCTCATTCTTCTAAACGGCAGTAAATATTAGACTGAAGCTAAATAAAACCCTTGTGTCAAGCCAGAAAATGGCCCTCACTAAACAAAGCAGGGTGTGGAGTCACTTTGTGTGTGTGTGTGTGTGTGCGCGCGTGTGTGCGTGCGCAGAACATGTTTACTCAGAACAACAATAATCCAAGAAAGTTAGTCTGGAAATTTAAGCTACGTGTGTCAATTCCTTTCCAGTGAGTCATTCTTCTGCCAGGCTAGTTGGGTTGGGAGTGGGGAGATAAGATGTACTCTGATAGGAGGGGGAGGGGAAAGGTTTGCATATTGAATAACTGAATTGTTTTTTAAAAAAATCTTGCATTGGGCATATGATGAGTTTCAAGTGACCTTCATTATAAGCAAACAATATGTGGTAACTTTGTTTTCCGACTTGTTCTAACAGCTAATGATCCGATTGCCTTTAGGTTGACATTGTGGACATATATGAATCTATACGTGAAAGACAGCGTCATGACAGCGAAAGGTCTACGTGTAGCACCTTAGAGCAGAATGACATAGAAGCAGTCCAGGCGCTTGTTTGTATGAGCTCCTGGGGTCAAAGATCACAGAAAGGTGACCTATTAAAGATAAGGCCACTTACGCCCATCTCAGATTCAGGTGACTTCACCATGCATGCAGAAGCTGCCTCTGAATTACCGAAGGATTATCACTTTTTGTCTACACTGGTAAGAAAAAAACTAATTAAAAATGAATATGTATGACCACAGATAAATTTTATATTATTACTATTATATCCCCATTATATTGAATAATTTTGTTGTATTTGGGAAGAGAGCAGTATCTTTGTTTTTTAAATGCTGATTATTGTCGAAAGTAATGTCTACCCCCTAACTTGTCTAAATATGTAATTACTACTATTTTCATGTAAAGTATACATTTCTCAGTTTGGATAATTCCGTCATCTCTTCAGTAATAGATGTGATGACACAAACAAAATGTTTTGATTTCCTGTTTAAATCCAAGTAGAAAAACTTTGATCAAGAGTTCATTTTAACTAATGTCCAGGGGCAGCTTATTTGGATAGTTTATTGTAGGTTTCTCCTTAGTACTTTGAGTAAGAGGATTGCAAGTGACTCTTACTCTTGGGGGAATTCTGCACTAGAAATATTAGAATTCTGCACACACTATTTTAAAATTCTGCAAAATTCTGCCAGTTTTATTTGTCAAAAATAACATTACATAATCATGCCAGTTTCAATTACTTTGGTAATTTATTTCAAAATATCTGTCAGCAAGTATGTCTGTAACAATACAGACGCACACAAAAAATTACCCCAGCAGTAGAGAGTTAAAGAAACCCCTATGACAACCCAGTTCCTATTTCTCTGCCCCCTCTTCCCGCCCAGCTGGGGAGGCCGGACACCCACTACCCCTCCCACCCAGAGCCCAGCTGCGGCACCCCCTCGCCCCAGCCAATACACCCAAATCCCCTACCCCCAGAGACCAGCTGCGGGGCCTGCCCTTGCCCAGACACCTGCCCCTCTTCCCCCAGCCCAGACAGCCACCCCCTTACCCATCAGACTCCAGGGATCCAGAGAGAGAAACAGCCTAATGCTCAGTCCCAGGCTTGTGTGGCGTTTCCGCTGCCTCCTTCCCTTAGGGCATGCTGGGAAATGCAGCTGCCGGGAACCCTGTAGCTCCCTCCTTCCTTCCCCTGGCAGTGTTTTCTATGTGTGAGGTGGGCTCTGCAGGGTCCAGTGGCCCCTAGTGGTGACCAGCAGCACTGCAGCCCATTTCTGTGGGGGGAGAAAGGAAATTCTGTGCACACAACATTAATTTCTGCAAAATTCTGCATTGCGCAGTATTCCCCTAGGAGTAGACTCTGTATTGATTTACCTGCAAAGATCATACAAAAAAGAATCCTTGGAATGTAGGACAAATGTTATTAGACGCTGTGATAAAGCATAAAAGCAAGTTGAAATTAAACTTGTCACTTCATAATGATACTTCCATAGCCTGTGTGTTTGTACGTGCAGCTGATTATTTCTCCAAAGTTCTGGTCCACTTCAGATGACAGTTGATTCTCAGGTACCTGGGAATGGATCACTTGATGATTTTCTGTTCGTTCCCTCTGAAGCACCTGGCATTGGCCGCAGTCAGAAGATAGGATACTGGGCTAGATGGACCTTTGGTCTGACCCAGTATAGCTGTTCTTGTGTTTCTTATATAGGTATTGTTGTAGTTGATATCCAAGAAAAGCTAATTTGTTTTACTCTTTCGGTATGTTAAGGAATTCATTTTACCCAATAGACTTTTATTATGCAAATGAACTAGGAAGGAGGAGGAAGATTGAGAGGGTTGATGACTGGCTGATAGACCTCTTAGGTCACATTCTCATCTCCCAACAGTGGCTGGTCTCTTCTGGAGCAGTGAAGGGAAGAGGCATAAATTCTCAGAAGCAGTGGAGGGAAGAGGGAGAAGTGGCTCAAGAAGAGTGGGGAGAACAGTTCCAAACATATCTATTCCAAGATGAGCTACCAGCTGACAGAATAATAATAAAAGATTTAGGTCTCTGCAAACCTGCAATTAAGCAGGTATAATGTCACTATGAATTGCTATCCTATTTTCTAAGAACAGCGCACAGTGAACAGCATTTAAATAGACGCAGCCATTATCTGAGTGAAAATGGGCGTTGGAGCATAAAGAGCTGACACATGCAGTATTGCGGCTGTGTCACTGTTTACTTGATACTAGCAGGCTTTTGAACTTTCCAGAAGAGCCACTCTATAAGAAGTTAATGTTTTAGTCATAGCTTCCTAAAATATGGCTCTTTAGACTCTTCATTCTACTCTAGATTTTTATCACATGTTCTTTATTTTTAAAGTAAGGTTGATAACCACTGTGAAAACACCTGATGGTTTTTATGTTTGTATATTTTTGTTTTATTTTTCTAGTGTATGACCCCACCCCACAGCCCTGATTTTGTTGAGCCATCGACTACAATGCTCCTTTCTTCACAAGTCACTTATTCCAAACCAAGGACAGTCATGGCAAATACATCTGTTTGCGTAGTCACCTCTACAAACTGTGCATCTGCCATAGCCAAACCATCTGTCATAAACATGGAGAGACAGTCCAGTCGGAAGTTAGCAATATCTGAGCCACCTGCCCCTCAGCCTTGCAGGGCCATGGCAACCAGTGTGATACGTCATACGGGCGATAGTTCTGCTTACCCCCACATTCCTGCTGTGCAAGTTAAAACAAAGGTAACTTCAGGCAATTGCAGCACTTCCACAGACTGGTGTGAAGCACAAGACCGAAGACATTCCAGAGTTTCAGAGGACATGGATACGGCTGATGGTTTAATTAGTGATACTTCACCAGTACATCAGCCTTATTTGCACAACTCCAGTTGTAACGCTACCAATAAAGGGCAACAGCCAATACGGCCTGTTTCACCGCGGACTTGTTTACCAAAGAACTGTGACAACTACCTACAGAAAAAAGCCACCCAGCTGCTACCTACCCCTGTTTCAAACCCCCAAGTCATCTGCCAAATGATCCCTTTTAACAGGCAAAGACGTATGATTTCTGCCTTTATAAAACCCCCTACACAGACAGTCGCAACTACTGTCCAACCTATTTTACCCCAAACAGCCCCAGTTTCTCAGCCTGTTCTCATGGGATCTTCTGTGCCTCAGGGGACTGTTATGTTGGTTCTTCCACAGACTGCTGTTGCACAGACATCACAGTGCCAACAAACTGTAATGACTGTTGGAAACACCAAGTTATTGCCTCTTGCTCCTGCACCAGTTTTTATTGCTTCTGGTCAAAGCTGTGCACCTCAAATGGACTTCTCAAGAAGAAGAAATTACGTTTGCAACTTCCCAGGCTGTAGGAAAACTTACTTCAAAAGTTCCCACCTCAAAGCCCATCTTCGTACTCACACTGGTGCGTATGGAGGGCAAATCCTTTGTTACAAGAATATTCACTTGTATTGTTGGAAGAATGTTGTTCTGCGTTTTGATTCTGAGAGGGGTAAGTGGGTGGCATAGAAACCTTCCCATATATTGTGGGAGAGTAGAGGATATTCTTCAAGGACAGACAAAAAAGGGACAATTTTTTTTTTCTGTAACTTAAACCCCAGATTAACTCCATTGAGATCAGTAGAATTTCACATAGTGTAAATTAAAGCAAAACTTGGTCCAAAATGTTTTTTTTAAACTTGAGTTGTGCTATATTTAATATGATCTGAAGGAATTACATAAACCAGTTTTCTTGGGGAGGGTGTGTTGTGACACATCATCCTACAGGTAGTTTTTGTGTTTGTCTTTTTATGGTTCATCAGGCTATACATAACAGAATCCACTCTATACACCTGTTAAGATAGATGTATTTTTTTTCCAGTTTTTTAGCATTCTGACTTCACTAAAGGAATGAGCACCAGGTCATGAGGTGTAATGAGTTCCACTGTGGTGGATAATAGAACTAACTATTGGTTAAATAAAACCAATCGGCTTTAGTTTGTGACCACTATGTGCATAGAATTGTTAAACTGCAATGAAAATTAAACATAACAAATACTTGTAGACTGTCTTTAACCAGACTTTGAGGAGCAATCAGGGCAGAAATATATTTTTACCAACTATGTTTTAATAATTCCTTTCTTCCTTCTGAAATCCTGGTCTGCTGCAAGTCACGCATTCTGGGTCCTTATTAGAAGGATGTCAAAGTGCTATATTTGTTTATTTTGGAGGGAGGGGGCAGGGGAGATTATTTTAAGATGTATTTCTTTCCTGATTCTCTCCTGAGCCTGGTCTAACTCTATGGATATTCAGCACATAATCTGGTTTTAATTTCCATTTAATCTGACCATTTATTTTATTAAAATTCCTCATTGGAAGAATAACTTTTTGAAAAAGACACTTTAAGGGAGTAGATATTCCCCTAAACTAGAACCCAGAGCAGTGGTCCCAAACTTTTTACCTCGCGTCCTCCCCTTACCTCAGTCTGTGGCCCTGGAGCTGGGGTTGGGAGCGGAGCCCCGGGCGCGGGGCTGGCAGCCGGGGCCAGGCCCAAGAGTGGAGCTGGGTGGTGCTCTGTCTCCGCTCCCCACCCCACCCCCACATCAGGGCTGACCCTGGTCCCAGCTGTGCTCCCCTGAATGTTTCTTGGTGGCCACCAGGGGAACACGCCCCACAGGATTGGGATCTCTGACCTAGAGGTAGAATCCTCTCCTTTCTCGTTGCTCTTTAGGGGGTGTGTGCGAGTGGAAGAGCCGTTATGGCTGGTGTAGTGGATTCCTGAGTTATCCTGGTGCAGTGCAGGATGGCCCAGGGATAAGGGCAGTGTATCTTACAGAACATCTTTCCTCTGGTTCAAAAAGAAGCTGTATGAATCCGTTCTAACATGATGACTGCAGCATGTGTACAGGGGAGCTGGAGCACACTGGTCTAACCGTGATTCTTAACTTGCAAACAGAGCCTGCAGAAGGCATGGGGAACAATAGCTGACCTACCCTTCCCTCTGTTACTCCTGCTTTGAGAGAGAGGTGGATTATCTTGTGCAATTAGGGGAAGGACTTAGCCCTTAATATGTAAGAATTCTTTTTAGTGCTTCCTTATGGAATGGAGCACACATTTTCAGATTTATCTGTAAGTATATTTTGGATATTAAATGTTTATCGCTGGGTAAAAGTGGGTAGTAGATCACTTGCTATTAGAATAGCTCTAAAATTGCACAATTGTGTAAGTATTACACACAGTAATCAGAAACTAGCAAAGGTGATGTTAGAGCTCTGAGCAAACGCTTACGTTCCTTGAGCATCCAAAATGCTTGTGAAGCCAATGGAAATTTTAGCTTGTGAAAGGAATGCAGGATCATCCCTTACATTAGTTCTGTTTCACACCACATGAGTAATAAAATGTAACTTCTTTTTGGTGAAATTGATGAACTGCCAAATCTAATGATAAACATAACTCAGTAAATGATCCAAAATGTTAGTAATTATGTTCTTAATTGTTATTAGCAGTTGCGTTGCTGTGTTCTTTTGAAGAATTGAGCATTTTATTATGACACTGAGATCAAATCCAAGACTTTATTTCAGATTATAGTACTTTCTAATGACATGGCACAGCCTCTGACTTCTAGTAGAGGGGTTCATTTCTCAAAGTTCATGGTCAAAAGATATTGTAGCTTTATGCAAAAATATTCTCCCCTAAACTCTGAATTGTTTGGCAACATTTTTTTAAAATGTTGTTGAATCAGAAAACTAACAAAAGCAATAAATGTACTATTGTCTAAGACCTCGATGCAGCAGTCACTTAAGCACATGCTTAATCTTATGGGACTTGTGGGCCTAAAGTTAAATATGTGCTTAAGTGGCTGCAAGGCTGGAGTCTAAATTATTAGTTCTTAAAGCCATTTTCTTTTTTATCAGTAAAAATAACCTTGTTTTGCTTTTCTCCATATCCATTCAGGAGAAAAACCTTTCAGCTGTAACTGGGAAGGCTGTGACAAAAAGTTTGCCCGCTCAGATGAACTTTCTCGACACCGAAGAACTCATACTGGAGAGAAGAAGTTTGCTTGTCCTGTGTGTGACCGTCGTTTCATGCGCAGTGATCACTTGACAAAACACGCCCGACGTCATATGACTACAAAGAAAATACCCAGTTGGCAGACACAGGTTGACAAACTGAACAGAATTGCTACAGCAGAGAAACCTAAAAGTGATGGTGCATTGAACATGCTCATACCCATACCAACCTCTGCCTAAGTGGGCTAGTTGGACAAAAAATCTGCTCTCTGAACTTTCTAAAAGTCAGGAAGAGCTACAATGGTTAAAACCGAATTGACGATGTTTTCTTAATTTCTGTTCATATTTGCCTCTTTAATAGGGCGGAAAAAAGATATGTAATTATTTTATTCAGTTTAGGCTCTGTTCTGATGATATATGAGAACTCAATTGTGTGTGTGTGTATCTCTTTTTTTTGGGGGGGGGGGGCTCCTCTTTTCCTTGACATTTGGGCATCCACAGTCACCAGCACTTCAGAAAAGCAGAACTCTTTGGAAACAATTTGGGTACTAGAGTATTAAAAGCAAAACTCATTTGAGTAACAATTGCTGTTCATATTTGATACAAAGTAAAACAAGTGATTTTTAATGTTTTATATACTAATATTTTCTATACAAAATATATTTTATATTTGTTCAGCTAGGGCTTGGCCTGCCGTCATTGAAACTACTTGCATAAGTAAAAGTGTGCAAAATCAGACCCTTTGTCTGGAAACTGCTTTTCACTAAGCCGCAAGAAACTTAATTAAAACATTTTATAAACATATAAACACTTGGTTAACTCACAATGTTTTGGAACTCTACACATTTAGATCCTGATCCAGCAATCAGTTTGCACAGTCAGACCTTCATTCAGATGAGATTGCAGGAGTGGGACTTAAAAGCCTGTTGCCATTTACAAAAAAAACCTCCAGGAATAAAAGTGTGCTTCTTGAAATCCACAACAATTAATTGAATTAGGTTCCTTGAAGGAAAAAATTGCACTTAGCGTGTTTCATAAACTTTGCTGTGGTAAATCCTTGTGACTTCAGGTGGAAGCTTGAAAGACACACACTCCTGATTAGTTTTTGTTCTGACTGAGCAAAGTTTGGAGAGCCAAGACTGTTCAAGTGGATGCACAAGGACAGCTGCTTCTGAAGAATTTTGCCACCATTAAGAGATTTTTACTTAAATCTTGTTGATGCTAATCTGCTGCAATCTACTGTAAACACAAAACTGGTAGATGGTGACAAAACAGCTGTCATGTGTAGTAAACTGGATCTCTGATTTGTATTTCTCTGTTTTTAAAATGTTAGAGTTTTTTTTTATATATAGTGTTTAGGTTAGACTCTTGCACACCTAGTAATGAACTATTCAAGACTTCAGTTTGTGTATCAAAAGCACACACCCAAAGTCTAATTTAAAACACAGCCACTTTGTTAAACTGATGAGCCTCTTCTTACGGCCTTATACATCATGCTATTTTGCATGCAGAACCACTCTTCTCTATTAGATGAAATATTCTTCCTGTTGAATGGACTTTCTTTTCCATCAAAGTAGGTTATGACTAAGATGAATTGCAAAATTGCCAGCTGCGGGACTGCTCTGTTGTAACTTTCTTTAGTAGCATAGTATGATTAACAAAATTAAATGTGAGTAGCACAACTAGATCACTCAGCTTCTGTGTCAAGAAGAGAACACACACACTATATATATATATATATATATTAACAAGCAAAGATGTTTGCTGTAGTGCTGAGATCAGACTTGGTGTAACATCTGACATTTCATTAGTACCCAGAATCATTGGCTATAGAACAGATTAAAAATAGCTTTTTGACTAGCGTGGTACCTTCCTTAATCCAAATATTTCTGTTCTGTCGGTTGATTCCTTGTGCAACTTGGCTGCTTCTATTGCAAACATCTTTTAACATTAACAACTTCATAAGGACTTTGCCTTAAGCTTATTTATTTATTTCATTTGAGTCTAAATTTCCTATCGTGAACAGCCTTCTCCTTAAAGTGTGGTTCTAATCTGAAAAGTAACAATATAAAAATGGCATTTTCATACTCCAGGTCATCTGCTTCTTGTGTGTGCATTCAGTTGCATCTCTCTCTTTACTGACAAAATATGTTTTTGCTACTCTTTGCTCTTATGAGCCTGTCACAGTCAACACAACTAACGGAGCATGAGCTGGATTCTCTTCCATTTTGCAAAATAATGGTTTGCTAAGTTCAGTCTATTACACTTTTTGAAATCCACTGAGTGTCCATATGGAACAGTATTTCAATTTGAAGTAAAATTATTGGACTTTCCGACTACCAGCAAATAATACATTGAAACTGTCAGTAATATTGAGCTTTTGAGAAGATATCTAAATTTCCAGATGAATAAAACATCAATATTTGAAATGTGCTGCTTGTTGCACTGCTTCATTAGTCTGAAAACTTTGTTTTGTTGTGCAGTATGTTGGTCTGATTCTGCGCACATATGGACTGGTGCAAACACTGAAATCAGTTTATAGTTCATGTGAAGTCAGTGAAGCGCATGTGTAACAGCAGAATATACTCCTATATCTAGGTTTTTATGCCTTTGGTTATAGTTATTGGTAATTTTAAGATTATGCTAAATTGAAACATTGCGCTCAGTGTACTTAATTTTTGTGCATATCCTTTAAAATGTCCAATCCTTGTTCATTTGACATTTATTATAACACAGCTGATCATCGGTACTCCTGGGGGAATTCTGCCCCACTGTGCATGCACAGAATTTATGTGCTTTGCAGAATTTTTTTCCAGCAGACAATACATGCTGGTAAGGTGCTGCAGTTACTCCTTTTGCCCACCAGGGGCTGTTGTGTCGCCAGAACAGAGAGCAGCTGCTTCTGAGTGGGAGCAGCCCCAGCTGCAGATAGGGAAGAAGGAGAGGCTGCCTTCCTCACAGCGTTCTGCCTGTGGGGCCAGGTCAGGAGGCACAGGATATGGGGGGACAGACAGCATGGGCTGCTGGGGAAAAGGTCACAGACAAGTTCAGAAAGGCAAGTGGGGGCACAGATTGGGGCAGGGATTGAATGGGAGTGGGGGTGCAGGGCCACATGGGGACGAGGGCAGATGTGCCTGTCTGACTGAGAAGGGCTAGGGGGTCAGTCAGCGTCTGCATGGTGGAGGCTCCCTAACAATCCCTCCCTGCTCAAAAAACACCCGGCATGATATTTTGACAAATAAAATATGCAAAATTTTGCAGAATTCCCCCAGGAGTAATCTTGTGCATTGCTGTATGTATGCAAATGTTTATTTTTCAAAGGGCTACATTATAATTCCTCTTTTTGGTAAAGTGGATACTTGGACTGTTACTCTTGTGGTGTTTGAGTACTGACAGGATGCAAGCTTAATTCCATTGCAAAAAAAGATTAGCCCTGCTCTTCATGCTCTAGGGAAGAGAAGAGCAAAAAAATCTGCCTATGGACTGTAGTGCGACTGTGTGGCTTTTTTACTTGACCCAGACATGACATATCAACTTCAAAACCTATTTTGGTAAACTAATTTTTTTTAATTTGGCAGAATATTTTGATTTTTCCCAGTAGCAGAACAGTTTTTGGAAACACCCTGTAAGTAATTTTGTAGATGGTCTTGTTCTTTTGCTTGTCAGAGAGAGAAGAAGATGCACAGGAGAGTATGGGATAAAATTCTGCCCATAAATGTGCAAGCATAGTTGTCATTGGTCCCTGCGTCCTGTTTGCAATACCTCTATCTCCTATTTACTTAGGAGTTAGGGCCACTTAGAAGTCGGCAGGAACTGTGTGTGAGCATTAGACCCGTGATTATTTAGAACCTAAGCCTGCAAATAGCTGAATAGAACTGAGCAAATAATAGATTTTTTTGGTTTGGGTGCTGAACTGAAAAGTTATTTTTTTTTTTTTGAGGCAAACCAAGCCAATTTTTTGAAAATTTTAATCAAACAGAAACTTGGAAAACTTTCATTTCCAATTGACTGAAACATTTCAGGTAGAGTCAAAACAGTCTTTTCGTGTTTATATTCGTTATGAGTGTTTTTGTTTTCATTTGGCAGTTTTGGGGTATTTTTCACCCTCTTTTGTAGTGATGGTCTTTTGGTGTTTTTTTTTTTTTAAATTGGCCAAATTTGATAATGGAATGCCATTTTGAAGCAAAATGTCAGAAAGAAATGTTTCTAAATGATTGAAATGAAATGTTTTGACTTTTCCCCACACAAATTTCAAGGTGTTTTGGCTGAAACTGTTTGTCAGATTTTACCCAAATTCGGGAATAGTTTTTGACACTCTGAAAAAGGCATTTTTTGGTGAAATTTCTATTAGTGGAAATATTTTACCCAATGCTATGGCTGAACGTATCCTGTGAGGTGTTTTGAGGGTGCTCATACTGTTGGACCCAAGGAAAGCAAAGTACTTTTGTAAATGTGCTTGAATAACTAAGTCAAAATTTGAAACTTTTTCTTGCACAGTATAAGGGAGTAGAAACAGAAAAATGAAGTCGTCTTAGTGGATTAAACATGACCAGGTAAACTGTCCTAGTGCACTTTAATGCCTGCACAATTTTGTTCAGTCTTTTTACTGCGAGCCTATAAGTATATTTCAAAATAAATTTTAAAATTTTCACATTTTTGTAACTGTTTTTATCTTATTTAATAAAACTGTAATGTGGCTTTATTTTTAAATCACAAATTTGGGATTTACAAGTATTTAAAGCGTTTAGCTTGTTCAAGAATGTGTAAAAGTAAAATGGTATCTGGCATATATTTAGGCAGATGATGTGTTGGTTCATCTAGTGCATTTCTCTGCAAATACAGGATTACTTTTTCCTATTCTAGATTTTTCCAGTGCTTCATCCATTTATTAACTGTTACATAACCCTTCTTGTGCACTTGGTATAGTGGTGTGCAGTTCATAATTAGTCATTGTGTCTGTGTTTTGAAAGACCCTCCACAGCCATTTGATCGGAGCCCTTAGATTTTTATAAATAAATTCTCCTTGTGTGGGTCATGCTGATAATCTAATGATACAAAAAAGTGCACCTCCATAATTCCACATGAGGTCACTGC